GAAGTCCATTCTAGTCTAGCAGTATGTCTTCAAATGTTGCAAGCCGAACCTCCCGGCACAGCCTGTTGCGCTTTGCCCCTCCAGCCTTCGTCAGCGGTTGCCCCGCACTGCTGGAACGTGCAAGCTGCCTGCTGCCTCGGTGACGCATGCAACATATTGTCCCTTGAAAATGTGGGTTCCTTGCTGGTGCTTTAGAAAGCCCCACTGCAGGAAGCATTGCCGGCATCTCCACCACGAAGGGGCCACTTCGTTCCTTCTGCAGTGCTTCTTAATGCTTCAGGAGCAAATTTAAGCCTTCGGATGCTGGGGAAGGATTTCTCGTTAGGCCTCCTTGTGGCTGGCTTCTTGGATTCATTCTGCGGCTGTCACCCCTAGTAACTGATGCTCAGGAGAAGGAAGAGAGTGTGGAGAGGAAGTGTCAGAAGCTTCAGATCCAATTATGGCACAACTGTGGGTAGAACACATGGCAGAGTGTCGCGATTTCATATGTTCAAGCTGAGTTACTCCTCCGGTGCGGTTTTCCCTCTCTCCTTGCCCCACTAGCAGGGAGATGTAGATTGCTTGGGAAGCCTTGAGAGTGGTGGATGAATTAGCAAGGCTGGTCTAGGAAAACTACAGGCTGACACAGGCCATTGTTACCTACGATAACAAGCTTAACATTTTCCACAGTGACAACTTTCTGCTGTGGTAGCTAAATGGACCTTCCTTGTTCAAAGAGGGTGTACCTCTGAAGGCCAGAGCTGAGATGTTAGAGCTGGCACAGGTCATGGGAGGATTTTTCAAAAACCAGCAACACACCCTTGCTTTTCCAAAGATCCTTTGCATATAAGAACTGCCTGTATCCATGATTGTCTAAAAGTATAATCTTCTACCATTTTAGACAAGAAAAAAAGGCCCATCCGTCCCAGCATGCTCCAAACAGGTGGGGAAGGTGGGCCTTTTTCTGTCTAAACTTACATAAGAATTGTGCCCTAAACTGTCATCATTAGAGTGGATTTGCAAGCATGTGTGTCAGAGATGGATTGTTTTCTGACTCTTAGAATTTTCTGACTCAGAAAAAAGGACATGCAGTAATTCGGTCTGCCTAAGTTAACTCCAGGGCCCGTCTTCAGGTGGAATGGCCGGCAGTTAAACACTGAAATGCTTGGGCTGCCTCCGGGAGCAGGGATGCGGCAGTGCATTAAAGGGCAGAGGAATCATGCATGTGAGAATTACTGCTGGACAAGAGTTTTCTGCATTATGAAAGATTTTCCCTCTGCAGGTGTTGATCGATGGAACCTGTTTGCTTGAATTAGCACTGAGCATTCTTTGATGGCTGGTGTCTGCTTGTTGCAGTCCACGCCCCTTTCGCTTGGCTGGGAGCTGCAGAGAAACAGTTGAGAAGTCGAAGTGTGATCGGAGAAAGAGAGAGAGATCTGGCATTGCAGCTGGAGGATGGGAGGGACTGGGGATTTGGGGACTGCATGTTTTCTCTGGGTGGGTGCCTGCCTGCTGCCTTTTGCCCAAGCCTGAATGTAAATGAGTAGACCTACTTGTCCCCAAGGGACACTCACCGAGAAAAAGGTTGCCCTAACGCCTCTCATTGGGGCAGCTGGGGGACAAACTGGCTCATATTTAATTGTAGTTAATTAATTGCTGCTCCATCTTACCATCCCTTGTATGGCTTCATATTATTGGAATTGGAATTGCTACTAATACAGTGGTACCTTGGCTCACAAACTTAATCTGTTCCACGACTCTGATCGCGACCCAAATTGATCATTAGCCAAGTCAAATTTCCCCATAAGGTTCAATGCAAATAAGGTTAATCTGTTCTGTAACTATTTTTTTTTAATCACAAAAATGTGAAGCAAAGTGACGAAAAACAACAAAGATCACGGCCATCTCCCACCTCAGTACGACTGCGATTGCACCCGCGTTCCCTGCATGAGCACGAGCGCTATCACGGGCACGATGCGGGGGGGAGACAGACACGATCGCGGGCGTGCTGGGGGGAGATGGGCGCGATCGCGGGTGTGCTTGGGGGGTGGAGACAGGCGCAATCGTGATCGTCACCCGATGCGGAGTTCACGGCCTGAGTGAAAATTTTTCTAAAATTTTTGTTCATGACTCAATTTGGTCATGAACTGAGGCATTTGTGAGCCGAGCTACCACTGCAGTGTATTTTAAAAATATTTAATATATGTCTATTAACTGCTTTGGGATTAATATTAAACTTCTCAATATTATATAATAATATATAAATATTTCAGATAAATGAATTGTTTAAAACAATCACACTACTCTTCTCTTGATAACATATCTGTGTGTTCTTTTGGGCACTGTGCTGTTGTTAACAAAAAGGCAAGGTAAAGGGAAAATCGCAAGAGTTGGGGAAAAATTTTGTAACTTTTTGTGGAAGCAGGACTTTGTTTCCCTAAACTGTAGATTCCAATAATCTTATTCTGGGTTAAGGTAACTCCTGCTCAGTAAAGCTTTGCAGTAAAGAAGCGCTCATTCTGCAGCTCTGGGTAATACTCGGATTTTGCACATGCAGTTTCCATCTGAGATGCAGTCAAGGCATTTCTTCCAAGCATGCAATTGTCCACATTTTGCCTGAATCTTGCCATGCATCCCCTTCAACAGAGCCACCTGGTTAGACACTGGTGTGATGTCATAGGCTAATAATACATTTCTTCTTGAGTCTGAATTATTAACCTTTACTGGTCTCCTTGGAGACATGCACAAACTAATTTTTAGTTACCTAGAAAAATGCAATTTGCCATTAAATTGACTAAAACCTGGGCATGGTGCATTTTCACTTGTACCCTATCAGCGATCTTAAGATCTTTTAACATTGCTGTTGTCTCTCAAAGGAACGGGCAGTGCTGAGAGAAGGTGTTTACCTCTTCCCCACTCCAATGTTTTATGAAGCACATTCACTTGAGAGTCCAGAAGTAATGACAATACACTTATTTCATTTCTGTACTACCCACAAACTGAAGTTCTCTGGTTGGTTTATAGCCATTTCATAAAACAATACAATACAACAAAGCACCATGACACTTTCAAATCACAAAATCTAAAAACAATTTAGCAGCTAAAACAATATAGGGTACCACTGACATAAGTACTCCCCTTGCCTCTGAATGCATTTAGATGCCTCGGCTGTCTTAACCTGGCTCCAGATGGATGACAAAGTTGGTGCCAGAGAGAGCTCTGTGGAAAGATTTTAGGACGCTGTGTTTTATTTTTTATTTTGTTTTTATTTTTTACATTTTGTATTGTTAAACCATCCCGAGACTGCAGTAATGGGACTGTCTACAACCGTTTTAAATAAATAAGTAAAGACAATTCTGTAGTTTGGGGGACACCACTGAGAAACTCCCCCCACCAGGTCACCACCCTCCAAGCTTCCCCCAGTGATGGTACTTGGAGGGAGCCCTGGATGTTTGTTGTGGCGCCTGGGTGGGTGAGAGGTTCTGGGATGTAATGCGGCAATTCCACACACGTGTATATATTGGGGGGGGGCTTGTAAACTGGGGGCAACGTCTGCACAGGAATTCATGAAGACTTTTGAAAATCCTCCCTGTTGGGGGTGGTGTAGTTTGGGGACAAAAATGGGTGTGAGAGGAAACGTTAACATCTCTTTTCCTGAAGTCCCGCGGTTCTGATCCAAAGCAGAGTCACAGATGCTTGCAGGAGAGTAGGTTTCAACTGTTTCTCTGCAGCTCCCAGTTATGTATCGGTCCGCCATGCGTGAGTGGCAAAAGATTTAGTTTGGACCTAACAGGCACAAACCATAACGCCACTGGGTGCCTGTTTATCTGGTGCTTGCCTGTTACTGCCTCTGCATGCAAATCCACAAAGTGGCAGCCTCAGTGAGGTGCTGAAGGCCTCTTCTGGCATCGCCTGGCAGGTCAGTTCAATAGCCTTTATTTATTTATTTAGAATATTTATATGCTGTCCTTTGGCAGAGCCTCAGGACGGCTTACATAAATAAATAAGAAGAATAGAATAAAACATAATACAAATAAATTCCAGATCCACCCTGGCTGCAGATTACAACATATATAGCTAATATTAAAAGTTGTTGAAATATTGTTGAAATAAAAAGGTCCTAGCCTGGCACCAAAAAACAAGTAACGACGGCGCCAGGAGGACCTCTCTGGGGAGCACATTCCACAGACGGGGCACCACCGTAGAGAAGGCCCTCCTCTGGCTACTCACCTTCCTAATGTAGGTCCTCTGCAGCCGATCTCAGGGGGCGGGAGGGCAAAACTTTAACTTGGGAGTGAGAAGATCAGTAAGAGTGGGCACCTTTTTCTGGGTGAAGAGGCTGGGGAGGCGATCCGTTTCTCTGCTGTGGGTAGACATGGGCGTTTGAGCATGTTCCAGGTGTGCACCTCTTGAAGGGCCCTGTTAGTCCAGAAACAACCCTCACTAATTCTGTGCATTCTGGGATTCTCGGGGTCTTTTGTAGTGCAAGTTCCAGTGGCAATGTCTGTGCAGGGATCCATGCACAGGTAAATTAATGGAGAAGGAAGAGCTTGAACACGAGAAGCTTGAACATTGCAGGGATTTCTTAGTGAGTAAAAAGCAAAATGGGAGGGAAAGGTTTCGTATTAGCATCTTAGAATCACCAGAAGTGGCAATGCCTGTAGGAAAAAGAGCTGGCCTCCAAAACTGCAGTTTTTGGTGTCTGGCTGTTTGTACTGTGAGGATTTTTAAAAAGCAAAGTCTCTGTAGTAGCAGTTCTGGGCAGGTCCCAGCACTCCTGGCTGGAAGGTGCTAAAATATCAGATGTTATGGCCCAGAACAAATGCAAGAGAACAGACTCAAGTGGTTAACTTTGGCTTCTTCACGGTCCCGCTGTGGAATCTCCAAGTTCTCATCCTGAACTGTTTTAGCATCGGCCTTGACTTGATCAATATCCTTTGATCAAGGACATAACTGCACGACATCTCCATCTTTCTCAAACTCATGATGCATCCCATTTCTCCTGTCCCTCCCTATTCCAGAGAGCAGCCCATCTTCACCACCAGAGCGCATGTCTTCCAAATTGACCCTGCCACCAAGAAGAACTGGGTTCCTGCGAGCAAGCAGGCTGTAACTGTTTCCTACTTCTATGACAGCACAAGAAACAGCTATCGAATAATCAGTGTGGATGGAGCCAAGGTAGGAGGTCGGCACAGATACCTCTGGCATGCTTGGAGAGCTGATCGGGGAAACTGGTATGAATGGGCCCCAGACCTTTTTTCCTCCCTTTTAATTCATCACTAGATTTGCTCATGTTTCATGAACCTCATAGTGGCTGGGAAGTCAGGCTGGATGTTTGAATGTCGAATGCCTGCGCATCTTTCCTGAGGACACCTGGCAACTAGAAGGCAGCTGAGAGAGCAGCTAAAGGGAGCCGAATGTAGAGCCAGGGTGCGTTTCCCCCTGTGCTATGCTGAAGCTGAGGAGAGATGACTGCCTTTGGGAAAGACCATTAAGGGTCTCATAGAAGCCATTCTGAGATTTCTGTAGGAAGAGTGTGTGGCTCTGGCTTGCAGGAAGCCACTGCTTTTGTGTGCTGCAAAAGTTCCAGTGGTGCCTACATTGGACTCTGTCTGAACACCGGAGTCCGTGGCAGTGGGCACTCAGCGGTGTCCAAGCAGAAACAGTACAGAGGAACATTTTGGAAATGTAGGGTTTTCTCCCTCCCTTCCCCCACAGGAAATAAATTTCTGGGGCATGGAAAGCTGATTCTAGTGGGAGACACTTCTCACTGGTGGCTCTAAGGGCCTGTTTGGGAAGGGAGGGAGGGTTGAGACATGCTGAATGTTGCTGTGAGCTTGGCTGGGCTCTTGGGGAAGCAGGTTTGCGGTTTCTCCCAGACTGGCCAAACTGTGCTTGGTGCAAGCCATCCCGATCCCCAAACACTTCTCAGACTGGCTGCTTGCATGTTGCTCAGCCCCAGTTTGGCAATGCAGCAGCAGGAGTCTGTGTCGCTGGCACGGTTTCCTGGGGCAGGTTTGTTCTCGCACCTGGCGTTCTCCAGGAGCCTTGGGTGACAGTCAGGCCCGGGCAGCACAGCTAGCGCGACTGGTTGTCCACTCCTCTAGAAGGCACCAGACTGGGGAAGGCTCCCCTAGGTGAAGAGGCCCCGACTTGAATTAAGTAGTACTTGGTGGTGTGGGATCTTGCCTCAAAGTCTTTCTGGGGGAGCCTGTATTGGAAAAGAAACGCAAGTAGCTTAGTGTGGAAGGTACTGATCTTGTGAATGTGCATTCAGGAGGTGTGTATGTCGGCATACTTTCTGTTGTGCATTTTAGAAGAGGGGGAGACGTCGCATCTGAATATTTAAATCCTGTCTACATTAGCAGGATTTGGATATTCAGTTTCTCAGTGATATTTTCGCTATCCAGGTGATGCATTTGGCAGGTGAATTCTAGCCATAAGGCAAAGTCAAATAAGTAAAAAGGAAATTAGGTGTACAGAGTAAGTGTCCGCTGTTCCTGAGAAATTAATTTCATTGTCTTCCTCATGAGCACCCTTGCTGCATGGAGGTGGTGCTGAAACTCAGGTCGAGATACCTGAGAAGAAATAGGTCAGCCTTCCTCACCTGGCACTCTCTGCAGGTGTTGGACCACAACTTCCATCATTCCCAGCCAACTCGTCCCCTGTAGTATGTACTGTGCTGCATGCATGGGCGTCTACCTGCAGGAAAGGTAGATCCCAGGCCTTTGAGGGCTGCCTCAAAGGACCACCTTGTCTTGGCTGCAGGTGCAGGTGCACCTTTTTTGCCCCCTCAACCTGGATGTGCTGCTCAGGGCCTCATTAGGGGACGGCAGCTTGTCGTCTTAGTTTTAAAAAAGAATCACTGGCGTTTGGGGCACTGATTTCCATTGGATCGTAGCACACAGGAAGTGGGGCTTTGCCCCCTCTCTCCCCAGCTGGGTTCTGGTACAGAGTTTCACCACCCTCATAAAGTGGGGATGAGGAAGCCCCCCCCCCCCCCCCCGTGACCCTTTCTCTACACCAGGAGCTGCAAGCTGGTTGGGGCGGGGCTGGATGACGAGGGAGGTGCTTGGGCAGGGCTCACCCTGGGATTCCCAGACCACCGGACTGGTCTATGGGGGAATCCAGCCCCTGAACCAAAAGAGGTGGATGCACCTGCCTTGCAGGGAAAACAGGCTGCCGTCCTCAATATTTCCCCGAGAGTGGTTTATGGTACCATGGCTTTGTTTATTGCTACATTTATTTTCTACTCTTTCCCATCTTGCGAGGAACCCGAGGTGGCCGAAATGGTCATCCTCTTCTCCATTTTATCCTCACAACAGCCCTGTGAGGTTGGTTAGCCCGAGTGCCAGGGACTGGCCTGCCATCACCCCCTGAGCTTCATGGTCAAGAGGGGTGAGAACCTGGTTTTCCTGAGGCTCAATCCGGCACGCTCACGGCCACGCCACGCCACGCCGGCTCTGGAGTACACGCTTTGCAAGCCTGCCTCCGTGGCCTCGTGCTGATACGCATTCCACCTTGCCAGTGGAAAAAACAAGGGTATTGTAGGTTAAAAAAAGTGTAAATGGGGAGATTGTGGGGAGGGGGGTGGGGAACCAGGGCATGATGAAAATTATTGCGTGGTGTATGGGGAAAACCATACACCAGGCAGCTCATTAAAACCGACCTACATTATTATACTTTCAGAACAAGGGTGACCTAAAAGAACTGGAAACAGCACAAGCTGTTACTTTCCTATCCCTTTGGGAAAGTCTGAAGGACAGGGCAGGTTAAAGACACTTTCTGTTTCCTTAAATCGTGTTATCTCCCAAAGAAAGCAACAGAAGAGCCAAATCACTGGGCTCCAGCAGATTAACCCCGAAGCATCACAGAGAAGAGAAATTGCCATGTTCTGCTCATATCTAAGTGTGCAATTTATTCAAGATACATGACACAAAGCGAGCACGAGGGTGTCCTTCGCGCTGCCTTTTTACTGACGTGTCCACCCCACCAGCCACGTCAAGGGAGGCAGGCACTGGCTGGATGCTCTCTTTCCTCTGAAGTACCGCCTTGCTCAGCTGTTAGGATCAGCAGGAGACCCCCTCGCGGGCAGCAGCACGCTTCCCAGGACCGCAGGGAAAGGCTTGCTCCCAAGCTCTGGACGTGCTCCCCTTGCAGCTGTGACGGGTCCCGCCTGCTCCGCATTCAGGAAGGGCATCAAGCTACTTCTTTTAGACTTGACTCTATAAGCGATATGTTGGTTGCTGCAAATGTTTACTATGTTCTTATTAGATTATAGCTTTTATTTCACAGCATTTTTCTAAACCACGTTACTATGCCACCTTTTCAGAAAGGTGGTGTGGAAGTACAGTAAAGACACAGACCATGTGCTCTTTCTTCCCACTCACTTGCTGAGCATCACTCTTCAAGGAAGAGTGGGAAGGACCCCGGAAGAGGGAGGACGCAAGGGTCCCCTTCCCTTCCTCCCACTGTGTAAGGGTTTTGCCCTTAAAGATGGCCCAATAATAATTTTAAATAAAATAAGAACTAGAAAATGTGCCACAAGCTGCCGTGTGGGAAGGATCCTTATGAATAAGCAAGTGAGATGTTATTCACCTGTTTTAAGGCCAAAGGGCCGCATTCCATTTTGGAGAGGTTTTCAGGGCTCCATTCCAGGGGTGGAAGAGGCCCCAGGCAAAAGCAGGAACACACACACCAAAGCTGCTGACATCTTTCGCTTTCAGCTCTTCCTGTGGCAGATAAGCCTTGTAGAGGCACGTCCGCCTTTTACAACATGGGAAAAGCTGCACCAGTGCTGGCATCAATGTGCCGGCCCGCCCCTTGCGATCAGAGGCGGAGCTCCTTCTCCGGGAGCCCTCTTTGAAGCAAATCAGGAGCGTAGGTATTCGGAGAAGGGCCTTCTCAGTGGTGGCGCCCCGAGTGTGGAACACGCTCCCCGGGGAGGTTCGCCTGGCACTGTCGCTCTATTCTTTTCGGCATCAGGTAAAGACCTTTTTATCTTCCCAGTGTTTTAATGATTAATTGGTTTTATCCTTGCTTTTATCATTATTGGATGCAGCGTGTTGTTGTTACGGTTTCTTTGCTCTTTGATTTTTTGTTCTTTTTAAGCTGGCCAGAGACTTTTTAGTAATGGGATGGCATATAAACACTTTAAATAAATAAATAAATAAATGACGGAATAAATAAATCCACGAGTCCATCAGTGGTTGGGGGAAAAATGAAGGCAGTGTGGTGATTCTGAGAACCTCAGAGGTTCATCTGGAGCTCCAGGAGGACTGAATTTGGCTTCCTGGACCTGAGGTTCAACAACTCTGCTTTAAGTCTTACTTGTAAGCTGCCTCAGACTGTTCTATCCTAAAAGTTGGGCTATCAGTAATTGTAATGCATAAATTGTGGAGTGTCAAGCAGATTTCCTTGTTCCATCCCAGCTCATCTGTGATTGGCCATAATGGAATGCAAATACCCGCCTCCTGCTTTGGGGCAGCCAGGTGGCACCATGCAAAGATGGAAGAGGAGAGTGGGAGGCACCTGTCGTCTGAGACTCCCCAGGCAAGCCACAGAAGTGGATCAAAAGAGGGATTCTTTCCTCTAATTGTTCATTCGGAATTTCCCCGAAACAAAGAAACAGAAACAAGAAAGCAAGCTTGAAACTAATAAATACTGATATGTACTTCTCCAACTACTTGCATAAATCCATGTGTGTCAGCTATATATAAGCTTCAACAAAAGACAAATCAAATATCCATATATATGCCCCTTTGAGAATGGTGTCCTTACATTACCCGCTCAAGTACTGTGAGCCTTCAGTCCAGTGTGTTAGAGAGGGTGAGCTTTTATCTCTCCGGTGTTGTTGTATTGCTCTTTTAGCTGTCAAAAGTGCATGGAAAATCTGTTTATGTTGGCCAAGCCTTAAATTCCAAGGAATGAGTAGATGATTTAAAAGCAAATGTTCATTAAAACATATCCGAGTGTTCAACGATGTGTGGCTTTGGTCCAAAAAGCAACTCTAGTGTTGCTTTTTCCACATCTCGTCACTTGCGGTAGGAGGCATCCGATTGTGCCGAGGCTGTGCAGGTCAAGTGGTTTGTATGCTGGAAACCCGCAGACAAAGACGTTGGATGCCTCCTGTTGCTCTTGCCACCAGTCATGATTTGTTAGTGACCCCAGTGCTTCCT